TATTAAAAATTTTGAATAATTTATTTAATAATAATAATTTTTTTTTTTTTAAAAATTATTTATTAAATTAATAATCAAAGAAAACATTTATTTAATTAATAATTAAATTTTTTTTTAAAATAAAAAGAAATATTTTATTTGAATTTAATATCTTAAAAAAAAGAAATATTAATAAAATAATTATTTTTTACTAAAAAAATCTATTTCAGCTTTTATTATTTCAAATTTAATTTGTTTAAGTTCAGTATTCTAAAAAATAAAGAAAGAAATATTAATAAAATATTTTTAACTATATAAAACTTATACAAGCCTTCTATTTATCTCAAGTCTAATATTATAAAATAAAGAAAAAACTATTAATAAAATATTTTTAATTAAATAAAATTCTCTTAAATCTTTTATTTATTTTAAGTTTAATTTGTTTAAGTTTAGGTATCAGTATGATTGACATTTATTATTAATATAATATAAGAATATCAAAAGTATAAAGTTATTATTAAATAATATCATAATCATATTTTTAGATTTTGAAATTCATTTATTATTAAATGTTTAAATATAACTATAAAATAATAATTTAACTTAAATTTATAAAGGTAATATTTTTAAAATAGATTATAATTATCCTTAGAGTATTTTATATATTTATATAAATAATATTACTAATTAAGTTGTGTTTTATAATTTTTAATAAAAAAAATATTATAGATTTGATAAAGAATAACCATTTTTTTTCTTTTCTAATTTAATGTAATTAAATTAGTTATATATCTTTATTTATAAAAAAAAGAAGGAAAAAATAATATATATATTATTTATGAATAAATTACAAAATAAATCAAGATTTAAATCAATATAAAAAAATATATACATATATTATTTTTAATTATTTAAAATTTATTATTAATAAAATCATTATTTTATGATTATCAATTATCTTTTGTCAAAAAAAAAAACTATATATATAATTTGATTAGTTGGTTTAAAATTATCAGATTAAATTATATTTTTTAATCTTATTTAATATTAATCTAAAATTTTATTAACTTGATTTAAATTTTTCAAATTAAGTTAAATCAGATAATAGATTAATTTGATTTAATTTAAGCTTTAGTTATAAATGCAATTACTTAAAAAAGATTCTAAAAAAAGTTTGTTAAATTATATAAAACATTTTAAATTTAAATAAAATATATTTTTAATAATCTAGTTAAAAGCAATTGATGATGAAAATATATAATATTTAAAAATACATAATAAAAGAATATTTTATTACAAAATTATTATATATATTTTTTTTATCAAAAAATATATCTTAATTAATATTAGAATTAATCTTATCCAATTTTTAATAATAAACTATTAAACTTTAGACTTAATATTTAATTCAATTCCAATTCTAAATAAACTATAATTATATAATTTTGGTCAATTATAATTTTATATATTATAATTCTAACTAAATTTATAATATTAATCTAACTTAAAAATTAAATAATTTTAAAAAACAAATTGGATTTTTAAATATATAACAAAAAATTTGAATTCAAAATTTTTTTTACTAAATCATTATTATATACTCATTTTAACATAAAATTTATTCAAAAATAAAACTTTTTTATTTAATACATCTAATAATATATATAATCACATAAAAATTTATAGTAAATACATCTAAAATTATGATAATTTAGGATTAGAGCTCTAAATAGTTTAATTTATCTGATTAATCTAATTTGATATTTTTTAGTTCAGGTTATAACAAATAATTCTGTTCTAATCTAACCTATTTAACCTAAAAATTCAATAAAATTATTCTAATTAAATGATAGTATATTCAAGAAAAATGATAATTTATCTTTCTTTTTAAATGATACATTATCATTTAATTAAAATAATATATGATCATTCTCTTAGTATATTATCATTCTACAGACTTCTGCCAAAAGTAAATTTACTAGAAATTCTTTTGTTTCATCTCTATTACTATTTTTATCATAATTACCATTACTATTATCATCTTCTTTTCTATTACCATCTTCTTTTTCGTCTTTGTCACTATTATTATTTCCTTTTCCATCACCATCTTCTTTTCTGTCTCTATTACTATTATCTTTTTTTCTATTATAATCTTCTTTTTATCTCTATTATTATCTTTTTTTTCATTATTAATGTCACTTACGCTATTTGAATCTTTGTCAAAAACAGATAAAAATTCAATACTTTGTAAAAATTACACAACTTAAAGATGATCTTATTAAGAATGAAAAATACTAACAGTCTTCAAATATAACAGACAGTAAGCTGTTTATGAATATCTTATATAGATAAATGATAGCAATAGGAAAATAAAAGCTAATAAAAAGTAATGCAAATAATTTATATTATTTCAAAGCTATATATTGCTAAATGGATTTATACTATGATCAAATTTTATTTAAATTACTAATCATTTCCAATTTTGTATTATAAAAAGTATTAAAAATATTATCAACTTATTAATGATGAAGATATTGTATTGAGTTTACAATAATGGTTATGAAAAGAATTAGATTCAAATGATATTAACATAATTTATTTTAAGCAATATATTAAAAATTTTATTTTGCTTAAACATATAGGAATTTAGAAAACAATCTGCTAAAAGATAGTTGCATATCTTAGGATACTGGTTTAAAGAATATTGAAAGAATATATATTTTAAAAATAATGAAAGAATTGGAATAACAAATAGCTAAATATAAAGAAGAGAAAATGAAAGTAATTCTACCAGTACTTAAATTAAATGAATAAGAATTGATTCTTGTTACTTATAATAAGTGTATATTCTATGTAAATAATGAAAAAAAAAGAATTTAAGTAAATGATAGTAAAATACCATTGTAAAAAAAAAGGAAAACAGAAGATTAATTATAGTAAGCGAATTTCTTTCAGAAGCTTGTAGTCAATTGAAACTTAGTGAAAAAGAAATAGAAAGGAATCTGAATATTCCTATAAAAGCTTATTGTTATCTTTTACCTGATAAAATTACTGGACCTTTTAACATTTATTAGAACAGATTAAATTTAAAGCAATTCCTATTTTTGAGATAAAATTTTCTAATGCAACAGCTGTTTTTGCCTTTGAGAATAATACAAACTATGTAGCATATGCTAAAAATGCTTTTGTTGCAGTAAGAATGAATTTGAGTTCTAGAAAAAATAACTAATCATGAAATTAACATCTTTTATTGATAAAAATAGACAGAAAATAATCTAGCAAATGGTGTTTTCAGAAGATTATTTTGATCTTGCTTTGCGAGAAAAACCAAAAGGAATAAAAAGGGCATTACAAGAAAGAGGTTTATGGAAGGAAGGATTAAGTTTAGAGTGTTTAATATGTAAAAAAAAAGAATCTCTAAGAGTTGATTGTTGTGCAAGAAAGATTATGGCATCTCAATCAGATTTTGTAGTGCAAAAGTCAGCTATTGTAGAATTAATTAAAAATGCAGGTCATTTATGTGTTTTCTACCCTAAGTTTTATTATGAACTTAATTTTATCGAAATATACTAGGATGCAGCCAAGTATTATACAAGAAATAATTGTGATTACACATGGGGTGACTTGCAAAAAACTGTTCTGCAAACACTTGATTTAGTGGATATTACTACAATTAGGAAGTTCGCTTAAAAATCATAGAGATACATGTAATTGTATCACAAAGGATTAACCAGGAAGTTAGCTGAATATGCATGTAAAAAATTTAAATCACATAGGCGAATTTCACAAGATAATTTAACTGTATTTATAAAAGAAAAGAGTTGTGAAAAAAAGTAACAAAATTAATAAATTCTGTAATATATATGTATTAAATCAAATTTATTAATAAATCATATGTTAAACTTAATCAATAATAAATCATGCATTATTTAATCAATTAAATTTATTAATAAATCATATATTAAACTTAATCAAACAATAAATCATAGGTTAAACTTAATCAATTAAATTTAATCAATAAATTGTACATTAAACTTAATCATTGAAATTTATCATTGAAATTTATAATTTTATTTAATGTGTAACATAAATTATATTTATCACGTAATTTATATAGATCACGTGACATGGCTTATAATAATCACGTAATTTTTTAAAATTTCAGGATCAGGACAAATTATGTAATTTTAGTTTTTAAGTGTCGCGCACTGTAGGATGAAGTTTCAACTTCACATCAAAATAATTATGTTTTCACTCTTATTACCCTTAATGTTGGTAGAATACTCTATACAATTATAAAAAGAATACTTTTAAAAAAAAAGAAATTCTTTTCGGAACTTTTTAATGATTTTGATCATAATGAAAACATTTTTATTGACTGAAATGACGAGTTATTTAAATATGTTCTTGAATTTATGAGAACAGATGACTTGTCAAAAAGAAAAGAACTCTGTATGACAAGTTATTACTTAAAAATTATTATTAGAAGCTAAATTTTATCATATCCAAGAATTAGCCATTCAAATCAATAGGATTATTCATAATATTGAATATCAAAGTTATTACTGATATATAATTTAGGTATATAACTTAAATCGAAAAAAAATTTATCTACCTTGTTATTAAATTTTTTCTTTAACATTTTTATTTATCTATGTATATGTAGAGAGTGATGACTCTCCTGATAGTAAGAGAGCTAGAATGAAAAAATATATTAAGTAATAATCAATTATAAGGCACTTCATATATATAATAGCATAGAAAATTCATTATGTATCATAAGCTAGTTCTAAGCTTTGAATTTATTTTTTCACATGCATTAATAAAATTTTTTTCTTCAGAACATTAAACAATTCTACTCTTGTATAAAATTATCATGTCATCAGAGCTTGAATTATTAAGGCAATACATCAATAATAACCCACGAAAAAAAAATCTTACTAAAGTAAAATGATATAATAACCTATATCACATTATTTTATTTTGGTATTTGAAGATCAAAATATATAATAATACTCGTTCTACTCATAAAGATTCCAACCATTTTTAGAATTAGCTAATACTTTCAAAAGCATATTGTGATCTATTTTTTCAAATGTATCAGATTTAAAAAATGCATCAAAGAATTCATCCTTTACCTGTTCAGAAGGCATCTGATAAATTTTCTAAACATAATATTATGATGATAAACCAACTGGCTTAAAGAAGTTTATCATTCTTTAAGAATGATAATATCATTATATTTTTGAAATAATATAATCATTTAATCAGATATTAATCAATTATAAATAAAATAAGTTAAATTTTAGCTAATTTTTGATGTATACCAATCAGCTATAAGTATACCAATCAACTATAAATAAGAAGGTTAAATTTTAGCTGAATTTTATAATTTTTGATGTATACCAATTAACTAAATTGATTTTTGATAACTTGCTGATTTTAGACTAATTTTAGAATGAGTTTTCACATGTCTAATTTTTTTGGTTTTGACCAGTAATTTTAAACTATTTAAATATCCTTAATAATAATAGTTCTTCTCAAACTAAAAAGTTTTTAACCTTTCACCTATTAATATAGAGATAAACTGTCTTCTTGAAACTACAAAAGATATAACATCTACTTATAAGATTACAAATACTATATAGTTATAGACAAAAACTAAGCTTATGATACTATGAAAAATATACTTAGATCCAATAATTCTTTTCTTAATATATTATTCTTTAAATATATTTACAACGCTTTCACTTTTTACATTTTCCAATAAAAAATTTGATATAAAAATTCCATAAAAATATTAAGTTTTATAACGTATAACTTTTATGGAAAATCAGTAT